GGTTTGGCGCAGGATAGAGCAGGGTTTAGAGCTGTTGTGCATAGGGTCGCTATGAGTCGGAAACGACTCGATGGCACATAACAACAACAACAACAACAGGGTCACAGTCAGTCTTGCTCTTATTAAAAATTGGGAAAAGATAAACCCAGAAAAAGGAAAGGGGATCTTTCCCTGTTACCTTGAAGAATATGGTGATTTTGCTTTGGATGCTGTGAAGGCCCCAGTTTTAGATGCTCCAGAGTGTGTGGCATTTTGGGGTACTTCAAGAGGAGCCAATATCACTTAATGGAGAACGAGTGCTGATGAGGATGCCAAAATAGAAGCACTTCAAAGGTCTGTTGTTACACTTTTGTTGGCAGCCCAATTCCTTAACCACTAGGTAGCGTAAGATGGTTGTTCGTATATTTTTGAATCTGTAGGACTCTCAGAAATACCTACAAGAAGGGAGCCTTGGTGGCCTAATGGCAAGAAGCTGTACTGCAATCTCCAGGGGTCACAGCTCAAATCCACCAGATGCCCCGCTGGAGAAGGAGGGGCAATCTCCTCCTGTGTCCGTTGGATCTGATTCGATGGCACACAACAAGTTAGGTAAAAAAAAAAAAAACCAAAAAACAAACAAAACAACCAAAAAAACCACACCTACAAAAAACAAAAACAAACCAAAGGAGGGGGGAATAAAAACAACAACAAAACCAAAAAGAAATATCTACAGGAGATTTTTCAGGAGCCAAAGCCCTATATTATAAGGACAGAGACAGGAGGCAATTATTTCATTGAACAACTATTATTCATCTGTCAGTGGAGGCTTGCCTGCTTTTATGATAGTAAAGAGATTTCAACAGAAACTACAGACTAAGAAAGACTTGGCAATCTCTTTCTGAAAATTCAGCGAATAGAAAGCCCTATGGGATTACAATGATTTGATATAGTTATACACAAGATTGCCATGAGTTGGGGACCAACTTGAAGGCAACTAACAGCAACAGAAAATAATAAAAAGAGTTCCTAGTTGAAGAAAGCAGTTAATATGCTTAACTGCTGACCAAAATGTTGGCAGGTCAAGTCCACCTAGAAGTCCCTAGGAAAAAAGTCCTGGTAATCCACTTCAAAATAGCCAGACCCTACTGAACACAGTTCTACTCTCACACTCACTGGGTTTTTATGAGAAAGAACGCCAAGAAAAGTTGTGATGTACTAAAATACCATTTGTTGTTGTTTTTGTATTGTAGAGTCAGAACTGACCCATTGCTGACTCTCCGGTGAGTTTTCAGAGGCAGGTAATCACACAGGAGGAGATTGCCCATCATTCTTCCATGGAGCAGCTGAACTGTGGCCTTGAACTGTGTCCATTTGGGATTGCAGCACAGCTTCTTGCCATTAGGAAAGATACTAAATGCTAATAGCTTTCTTCCACTTTAGTTCATATAGCATTCATATTCTTCCTGCATGAATGCTATTCCAACTATGAGACAAGAGTTGTCCACCTCCTCCTCTCGCTTCTCCACCCCTCCTACCACAAGGTGCCTGTTGTTGATATGCACCGTGGAATGGCAACTCACTCATAACTGACCCTGAAGCAGGTTTTCAGAGGCTGTGAATCAGACGGGAGGAAACTACCTATCTTTCTCCCAAAGAACAGCTGGTGGATCCAAACCACCTGATTTTGGATTAACAGTGCAGCTTCTTAACCCCTAGGCCAACAGGGATAGTATGGAATAATTAATGATATACTGAGGATAGGCGCCACTGCCTTGCCAGTAATACTGGAACAAGGAGTGGAGATTTGCAGGAAAGCTGATGGTAAGAATGAAACTGTTAGTTCAGCTCAGATCAATCAGCAATAATGAAGCAAATGTACAAAGTGCAATGACAATCTAATGGGTCTGAGAAACATCAGACTAATGCATCAAAGTGAGCATGTGGTGGATTAGGATGCAGAAAGTGGAAAAAGAGTTATTACAAATGAATCTTATAAATTTTTTCAGTAAGTAGAATTCATTTTAATTTTTGCTGGAAGAAAACTTTTGTTAATTATACAAATATTAGACATTTACTTGTGTAATTCCCCCTGTGTATTCTTCTGTGTACTACATTCTAAATGCAGCTGAGAATTAGAATTTTGCTCACAATTACACCCCCCCTCTTTTTTTTTTTTACTGCTTTGTCATAGAGATTACTGTTAACAGAGACTTCTTTATGGGGATTGTGTATTTCTTTTTCCAAATGTTGAAAACAAGACTCCATTAAAAGAGGATGCAATGCAATTCTTTAAACACAGAAAGCTATTCAGCCCTCAGGCCCCTCTTAACAGGAACTCTGGTGATGTAGTGCATAATGTGTGTTGTTGGTAATGAAAAGCTTAGCAGTTTTGATTCACCAGCTGTCCTATGAGAGAAAGATAGGTAGTCTCCTGTAAGGACTTACAGCATCGCAAACCTGAAGGAGGGTTGCTTCAAATCAGCTGGTGGCTCAGTGGTAAAGGACTGTGCCACTAATCTAAAGGTGGTTGTTGTTTTTGTTGTGTACCATCGAGTCAGAATCAACCCATTGCTGCCACTCCAGCTGGTTTTCAGAGGCAGTTAACTGCAAGGGAGGAGATTGTCCATCCTTCTCTCTCGAAGCAGCCGGTGACCTTGAATTACATGCCTTCCAATTACTGTGCAGCTTTTTGCCACTAGACCACCGGTGCTCTGACGTTTGAATCCCCCAGCTGTTCCACAAGAGAAAAATGGACAGTCTTCTCCTGTGTGATTTACTGACTCTGAAAACCCAATGGAGGGTCAGTTATGGGTCAGTTCTGACTTGATAGTATACAACAGCAACAACAAACAGCAAAGCAGAGGTTCTTGAGAGCAGATTTTCCCAGCACAATGACATGTCTTTTGATTTCTTGACTGCTAGTATGGCAGAGTTGATTGTGGATTCAAGTAAAATGAAATTGTTGATAGATTCTGACTTTTCTCCATCTACCATGATGTTCCATCTACTAGGATGCTAGGAGAACGAACAAGTCAGTGCTAGAAAGGGTGAGACCAGGCTGCTCCTTGGAGGAAAGGATTCTGAAGCTTTATCTGACATACTTTGGGCATGTTGGAAATCAGGAATAGTCCTTGGAGAGGGACATCATGCTTGGGAGTTGGAGGGACAGCCCAAGAGAGGAAGACCCTCAAGGAAATGGATTGATTCAGTGCCTGCAGTAAAATGGGAGTAGATTTGTCAGAGACACTAAGATTAGCATAGACTAGAGCAAGGTTTAGGGCTGTTGTACATAGGGTTGCTATGAGTTGCAGACAATTCCATGGCACATAACAAAAACAACCATGATGATGCTTGTGGGCTAGTGTTGAGTTTAGTTTTCTTGATATTGAATATAACCCATATTGAAGATTGTAGCTTTTGATCTTCTGCAGCAAATATTTCAAATCCTCTTCAATAGTAAGCAAGCCATGTTGTATCTTCTGTATAATACAGCTTGTTGATGGGTCTTCCTTCAATACTGATATCACTTTGTTCTTCATAGAGTCCAGCTCCTCAAATGATTTGCTCAGCATAGAGTTAGAATAAGTATGGAAAAGGACACAACCCTGACACATAACTTTTCTAATTTTTTTTTAAATTTAATTTTTTTTCTATTTTAAACCATGCAGCTTTCCCTTGTTCTAATTGGACAAAAGCTTCTTGGTTTAGATATAGGTTTTTCATGAGTACCATTCTGTGTTCTGACATTTCCATTCTTTTCAGTGTTAGCTGTAATTTGTTATGATCCACACAGTAAAACACCATTGAATAGTCAATAAAATGAAGATAAATATCTTTTTGGTATTCTTTGCTTTCAGCTTAGATCCATATGACTTCAGCAATGATATTCCATTTGCCACGGCCTCTTCTGAATTCAGCTTGAACTTCCGGCAGTTCTCTATTGGTGTACTGCTCCAGGCATTAAAAAATTTTTTTTATACTGGTTTATTTATAAAGTTCATATACATTGTTTTTCACACTGGATCTTTCTCATTTCCTTTACCCTCCCCTCTCTCTACTCATCAAATTGTGTGACCTTAAGACTTTTTTTTGTGTGACCTTAAGATTAACCCCCATCCCTTACCCATCATCACCCCTCTGCTCCCTCCCCTTGGATCCTCAAACATATTCTACAATAATGGTCTTAATATAGTATTTGTCCTTATGGGACTGAGTTAGTTCACATAGCATAATGCTCTTCAGTCTCTCACAAGTTCAGTAGTAATTTACATAGTATTCCATTGAGTGAATGTACCTTAATTTCTTAATCCATTTGATTGTGGTTATACATTTGGGGCTGTTTCCATGTTCTTTCTATGGTGAATAATGCTGCTATGAACATTGGCATACAAATCTCTGTTTATGCCTCAATTCTCGTTTTCTTGGGGTATATTCCAAGCAGTGGAAGAGCTGAGTCATAAGTTTACAGAATCTTACAGGGCCTCAACAAGAAAAAAACTGATAACACAATTACAAAATGGACAAAAGACATGAAAAGACGCGGATGAGGTTGGGGTGGTTCTCATCTCGCTCCCCATCACAGATGCTCTGCAGGAAGACCTGGATGAAGCGGAGACCCCTCTTCAGCCACATCAGCGCCAGTGTGGCCCCAACTCTGGGCCACTCTGCTCCGTACTGCTCCTTCTCCACCTCCAGGATATTCTGCACGGTCCGGAACTTGGCAGGGTTGGTGTCATATACGGCCTTGATTTTCGTGATGTTGCCACTTATATCTGCCTTGATGGGAGTGAAGACTGGGGACCCGAGGCAATCGAAGAAAGGCGGCAGGTGGGACACTGCCTCCAGGAAGGGCCCCGTCTCGATCTGCTTGTCCGCAGGCAGTGGCTTCAGGAGGTGCTCAGCCAGCAGCGCCATTTCGGGGTCGAGGCCCGCGGTGATACAGAGTAAGATATTCAGAAAGTCAACAGATACTTGAAATGCTCAAAATCATAGGCAGTGAGAGAGATGCAAACCAAAACCACAATGAAATACCGTCTCATTCCAGTAGCAGTGGCAAAGTTTAACAGGTCAATATATAATAAATATTAGCGAGGATGTGGCAAGATAGGAACTCTTATACATTGTTGATGGGATTGTGAAGTGGTACAACCACTCTGGAAGGAAGTTTGGTGTTTTCTCAAAAAATCTGAACATAAAAATTCCAGACATTTTTAATAATCTTCAGCAAAATTTTGCTTGCAAGTAATAGTAATGATATTATTTGATAATTTTCACATTCTCAAGGACCTCTTCAACGTGCTAAAAGAGCATGTATGTCAGTTTAAAAGCTAAATATTGCCTGATCTAAATCATAGTCTTTTCAATTACTTCCTATGCAACTTAAAGGTGGGAAATTTATACGGATGACAGATGAATTGATGCCTTTGAGTTGTGATGTTGGAGAAGAATACTGAATATCCCATGGACTGTCAAAAGAACTATCAAATCTATCTTGAAGGAAGTGCATTCAGGGTGCTCCTTACAGACAAGGATGGTGAAACTTAGTTTCATACTCTGGGCTCATCATCGAGGGACAGTCCTTAGAAAAGGACATAAAACTGGGAAAGAAAAAGGTCAGAGAATGAGAGGAAGACTGCAACAAGATGGATTGCCACAGAAATTATAACAGGGGGCTCGAGCATATCAGAGAGGGTGAGCATGGTACAGGATGGGGCAAAGTTCAGATCTTTGTTCATAGTTTTGCCAAGAGTTGACTCAATAGCATCTAGCAGCAACAAACAGCAGTGGTTTTGATTTGAGTTTTGGTACCACTCTTAAAACAACTATTTTTCTCTGGTGGATTTCATCTCCTAGTAATCCTACAGGACAGAGTAGAAACTACTCTTGTTTCCAAGGGTGTTATTTAATAATCATCTTCTTGTTGTTGACAGTACCATCTGGCTGCACCATCTCCAAGACTTGCTTGTTTGTTTTGTTCTTTTGTCAGTCTGTGGGATATTTGTTACTCTTCTCCAACAACACAGTTTAAAGGCTTCATTTCTTCTGTAACCGTTATTCATTGTACAGCTCTCAGATACACACCAAGTGAATCAGACGTACCTTTGTCCTCAAACTGACATCACTGTTCTTCAATAATTTGGAGACATCCCTGACTGCAGACTTTCCCAGCACAGTATGCCTCTTAATCTTCTGACTTCTGGTGGATCCACGTAAGATGGAGTAATTGATGGTTTCAAACTTTTCTCCATCTATCATGATGTTGTATATCAGTCCAGTGGCAAGGATTTTTCTTTTCTTGACATTGAGATGCAAACCATATTGAAGGCTATAGTGTTTGATTTCTGCAGCAAATGTTTCAAGTTTTTGTCACTTTCAGTAAACAAAGTTGTGTCATCTGCATAGTGAAGGTTATTGATGTCTTCCTCCATTTCTGATGTCACATTTTAATTTTCCAATAATTTGTTCAGCATACAAATTGAATAAGTATGGAGAAAGAAAACACCCCTGATGCATACCTTTCTTAATTTTAAACCTACATGGTGTTCTCTTGCTCTCTTCACACAACAGTCTGTAGTCCAGATATAAGTTTTACACAAGCACAATTAAATGCCTTCAGATTCCCAATGTTAGCATAATTTTTTTATTTACTCAGTTAGATGCCTTTGCATAGTCAATAAAGCAAAAATAGACATTTATTCTGGTATTCTTTGCTTTGAGCCAGGAACCCTCTGATATTAGCAATGATATCCCTGGTGACTCAGCCTCTTCTAAATCTAGCTTCAGTGTCTGGCAGTTCTCTATTTACTTTTCTAGCTGTTTGTTAATGATTCTCAGCAGTATTTTGCTTGCATGTGGTATAAATGATATTGTTCTGTAATTTCCACATTCTGGTTTATCACCTTTCTTGGGAATGGGAACAAATGTAGATCTCTTCCAGTAGGTTGGCCAGGCAGCTGTCCTCCATATTTCATGGCAAGGATTGGTGAGCATGTCCAGGGTTGCATCTATCATTTGAAAGATGTCAATTGGTATCACATAGATTCTTTTTTAAAATTTTTATGTAATATTTTTATTTCATGCTGTTTTTACTTACAAAGTTTGTAATACATTGTTTATAATACCAGATCTTTCCCATTTTCTTAAGCCATCCCTCCCTCCACCCATCGAATTGTGCAACTCTATGATTAAGCAACCCTCCACCTCCACCCATCTTCACCCCTCTGTTTCTGCCTTCTACCCTTGGATCTTCATACATATTCTACAATAATGGTCTTATACAATATTTGTTCTTATGAGACCGAGTTAGTTTACTTAGCATAATGATCTCCAGTCCCTCCCACATTGTTGTTGTTGTTGTTATGTGCCATCAAGTTGCTTGCGACTCATAGCAACCCTATGTACAACAGCCCTAAGCTCTGCTCAGTCCTGTGCCAATCTTATTGTCTCTGACACACCTACCCTCCTTAACCCAGTCACGGAATCAATTAATCTCATCGAGGGTCTTCATCTCTTGTGCTGTCCCCCCACCCTCCCAAGCATGACATCCCTCTACAAGGACTGGTCCCACCTTGCAACATGTTCACAGTATGCCAGATGAAGCTTCAGAATCCTTGCCTCCAAGGAGCAGCCTGATCTCACCCTCTCTAGGATGAACCTGTTTGTTCTCTTAGCAGTCCATAGTATAGTTAATATTCTTCTCCAGTATCACAGCTCAAAGGCATCAGTTCTCCTTCTATCATCCCTAGTTCAGCTCTAGTGAGTAACTGCCAAGGCCTGGATCAGGTGCATCTTAGTCTCCAGACTGACATCTTTGTTCTTCAGTACTTTGGAGAGGTCTCTGACAGCAGACTTTCCCAATGCAATTTGTCTTTTCATTTTCTGGCTGCTGGTGTTGACTGTGGAGCCAAATAAACTAAGGCTGTTAAGTTAGGTAGTGATTTACAAAATTCTTGCTCCTGTGTGCTGCATAGTATTCCATCATGTGAATGTATCATAATGTCTCAATACATTCAACTGAGTTTTAATTTTTTTCCTGATTTATATTTTATTGGTTGTTTTAAGGGCCAGTACAGAGACATTATGAACAACCTGTGCACAATTCTTAATGCACGTACCAAAAATCTAAAAATGCATGTAGTTATAATTCTTTTCTAAATTCCAGTGACCTTCCAGCTTTAAATTTGGAGGAAAGTTTTCATAAAGAATAAGTACCAATATCTTCAATTGTTGATAACTGTCACATCATTAAGTCCCACTAATTCGCAATTTACTATCACACTCTACACATTCAAATTTTCAACCATTCGCAGCACATAACAAAGTTATTAGGAAAACTGGACTACCAAGACCAAAGATGTTACAGAATCCACTTAGTTCTGACAGGGAGAAAGCCATGAAGAGGGAGTAGTTATGTTTAAGAAGAAATTTTACTAAACAGTGTTCTAATTTATGTATCTAAAATACATGGAAAATAGACTTAATTTAAAATGTTCAAGTCATAAATGTATTACTATGACTCCAAATTGTCATTAAGTATACAATGTATTACGGGATATAAAAACTGTCCCCTTTCCCCAGCAATTTTAACATCCCACATTTTCTGGTTGTACCAAAAAATAAACAACCAGCAAATAAACTCACCTCTTTAAAAAAAAAAGCATTTATACTTAAAAATAGGATGAAGTGGGATTTCCTTCTTCTTAAAAATGTATCTAGCGTTACTAAAAAACTTGCATTTAAAAAATAGTTGATAAAAATATTCCTCTGGATTGTTCAAGAAAGGAGATACAAGAACCACTGATCAGACATGGTAGACAAATATTGTTCAGGCTTGGCTTTTTTTTCTCCTGCTAGGCTGGACTCTTCTTCGTTTTTAGTTTCTCCATTTTCTGCAGGCAAATCTTCAGTTTCTCGTTTAGCCACTTCAGGCTGTCTTCCCTTTGCGCCCTTTCCCCCTTTTGTTTGCACTTTTTTGTCACAGAAGACTTCTCCTTTCCTACTGCCTTTTTGGGTTCCATTTCCAGATTTGCAGGTGGCTTAGCTGACAGCCTCGCTGATCTTCTCTTGGGCTCCTCCTTCACTGCAGCTCTAGGCATGTTGGCTGCAGGGAGGGCTCATGCTGGGTGCCTGTGGAGCCTTCGCGAAGCTGGTTTGCTCTGGCACTGCCTCTCTGCCCGCCGTCTTGCTGCTGGGACCTGCGGTGGGGGCCTGAGTTTTAATTTTTTGTTTTATTATTTTGTATGTGTG